TTTAGGCTTTAGGGCTTAAGGTGTAGGTAGGGTTTAGGCTTTGGGGTTTCGGGATGGGCTACGGTGTTGCTGCTTTTGACCAGCTTGTTTCTCCTCTTCTTTGTCTTGTTATTCTTCTTCTGCTGCGCTTCTTCCTGTCCTGTTCTTCCTTTTCTTGTTCTTATTTATCTTATTGTTATGCTGTTTACTCTGATCGTTCTGTTTTTTATTTGTTTTCTTCGTCTTTTTTGCTGCTAGGTGTCTTGGTGCTGCTGTTCAGTTGTTTATGCGAGCTTGTAGCAATGTAAATATTCATGCCATTGGATTGGCATCCTGGCTACTGCTATGAGACCGAATGACAGAAAATACAAACTTGAGACACAAACTCCAAGCTAACAATAACCCAGTTCTGAGGGCAGTTTGTGCCACAACTTGAACCTTTTGGGGGCCGAGAAGTTGGTCAATAACTACTGTGCCAAGAACACAGGCCTTCCTGAACCGTAACCCCTGAGCCCTAAACTTTACCCTAGAACCGATGCATCCCTTTTACTCTCTTGGTTGGTCCCTACAGTTGGGTTTTAATAACTACCCTGAAGATTCTTCCATATCATTCCCCAAGAACTGTTGAATCATTGCAACTGTAGCATACTGTAACCCCAAAACCCTATTCTAAGTCCCTATGCAGTAGGCCCCAATACCCTAAACCATGAAACCTAAACCCCTAGACCCTTAACCCCTAAAACCTATAAACCGCTAGACCCTAACCCCTAAAACCTATTAAGCCTAGACCCCTAAACCTGTACGCCTAAACCCTATAAACCCTGCACCCCCAAACCCTAGCCCACTCACCCAGGTCGACCTCCAGCGCATCTAGCCGCGCTGCTGCCTTCTTGCTAGCAGCGGCCTGCTGGATGCATGAAGGTTTAGGGTTTCAGGCTTAGGCCTCAAGATTTGGAGATCAGGGTTTAGGGTTTGGGGTGTAGGGTTTCCGGGTTTAGGGTTTTAGGGTCTAGAGTTTGGATCATGAATTTTAAGGTGTAGAATTATGCGTTTAGGGTTTACGTAGGCTGTTTAGCCTGTGTAGCTTGGGCTATCTATTTGGGATATAGAACTATATGTTAAAGTTTCAGGCTGTTTAGGGCTTGGACTTTCCGTTTTCGGAAGTGTACACCCTAAACCCTAAAATCTTGGAAAACTCGAAGGTTGGAACAAGCCGATTTGGGGTCTCCTAAAATTAGGGGTACCTTTTTAGGGGCCCCATAATAAGGACTAGAGTATTTTGGGGTCTACATTGGGGCTCCCCTATTTTGTGAAACTACCATTTCAGCTTGGGGCTTTAGAGTTTTGGAGGGTCCCGTTTGAAACCCTCGGAGCCTGGGGGTCATGTGAGTTACAGTTTGGGTTGGGCCCCCACCCACTAATAGTGGTATACTAGGAATTTATCAGGACCTTAATATAATAACCACTACCTCTTGTGATCACTATTACTGGGTGCAGGCCCAACCTAAGTTACAGTCTAAACTCCAAGTATCCCTCGTAATAACCCCTGTAATCGTACCCTGCATAATTCCTATACAATCCTTTTTAAGGGGGTTAGACTATAGCTCATGCTAGGATTGCACGGTGCGATTGAGAAGCATGCATTCCTCAACTCAACGGCTGCAGTGTCTCAGGGATGGACGTTGTGCACATGAGCTATAGTGTAAACTCCGTAAACTCCTAAAGGGCCTATTCAGGGGAATACTAAGAGTTTAGACTCTGGCTCCCATAGCGACTATAGCAAAGGATCCATTCTTGACAAAAGTGTGTTCACTTCCAATTGGATGATACCTCTGCTTTGTCACGATCAGTCTTCTGATCTCGTCACTGGGGAGGTCTTGCGGTTTACTCTCTTCCCCAATAACCTGGGCTAAAAAGTTCAAACTTTATTATAGAGACCCAAAAAGGAAGCCCAAATAGGAAAGTTCTGCTATTGGCTAAGTAAGTTTAGGGTGCTTAGTTATAGACTTGCCTTGACAAGAGCCATCACCCAGCTCCCCACTCCACCAGACTCTGTAAGAGGTGAAACTTTACAAACTGTCCAGCCTCACCAAGGTTTGTCAAGGCTAGTTCAATTTTAAAAATTCAAGTCTCTGTTGGCTGGCCTACTTCAAAAAAAGTTGGGCACCTCATATACCCAGTTGGCTTCTTTAAGCTTTTGAGTCCCGAACGTTTGAAACTCCCTCTTTAAACTCTCAAAGCCACCCGTTGCGATGCCTGCTCCTCCAACTCATGCTTGAGTTCTGCGTTCTCCTTCTCAACCTGGGGCGAGGCAGAACCCCACGCACGATCTCCCGCCAAACATGAAACCTTTACTGTAGGGTTTGGTGATTAGGGGCCCTACCAATGCTTCTGTCCTTTGAAGTATATGTGGAGGTCCATGGTAATGGGTGTAGGTTCCATCTGTTTCTATCTCAAGGTTCGCCTGAGCCTGAACCCGAAAAACAGCTCCTACAATTTCGGGGAAACCAATACGGGGTGAGGACAATATCCAACCCTTCACCACACACCCTAAACCTAAAATTCCTCCGTAGCCAACCTCAGGATTTATGATGCAGGGTTTAAGGTTTCAACTCATAAATAAATCAGGAACAACTGAGGAAAAGGTTATGGGGGACTGCTAGTGGGAAGCAGGTGGGATTATGACTACTAGATCCGTTCCCGCATTCCCTACACGGCACCAAGTAAAAATTAGGGCCACCAACATACACCTATCTGCGAAAAAACAGCACAACCGTCATGTTCCATCTCCCTGTGTCCCCCAAAAAGCGGACCAGACCAGGAATCGGAGACCTTCGCCACAACGGCTCCACCCAAAAGAGCCATGGTTTGGGCAAATATCCCCAAACCCTAAACTGCTAAACCCTGAAACCCTAAACCCCAGAACCCTAAACCCTAAAAGCTTAAACCCCAAAACCCCAAAACCCTAACCCCCTAAACTAAACCCCTTAACCCCATAAACCCCTAAACCCTAAATCGCAAATCCCTAGGTCCTCAACACTTCTAAACGCACACGTCTAGGCATGAAAGCTGCCAAAGCATGGCATGCCTAGCACAATCTACACAAAGCCTCCTTGCCCCCCTCAAACAAGCACTTAACTTCCTAGCGGTTTAGGGTTTAGGGCTTCTAGACCCTAAATCCTTAACCCTATATCCCCGAGCCCTAAATCAGTTTAGGGTTCAGGACATCCCTAGAAAACATCCGGACAAGGGCTTAGGAATTTCGAAGCCTTCTGTTTCTTAGATGTCCTTGAGACTGGTTTACTCAATCAACGGCTGCTATACCTAAGGGGGCTCCAAGGAGACTCGGGTTTGGTGTTCAGGGTTTCAGCTTTAGGGTTAAGGGTTCCCCTCCATCTGTGGTATGACCCCTTAATCCCTAACATGAAGCCCTGGCATCCCACTGTATTATCTGTGCACGTGCACCCCTGGGGTGCCTGAGTGCTCTAAGCCCTGAACCTAAACCCCGGCTACATGAGGATGAGAAGCGATCTCCTCCCGTAGTCCTAAACCCCCACCCCCCTGATGTTAAATCTTCCTAATATGGTAGACTAGTATAGCATACCCCAACTTGGGAACATCTAATATTCCGGGTGGGAGGGGGGGGTCATTTTTGCCACCCGTAAAAAAACACAGTAGCTTCGAACCCTTCCATTTTCCTTGTCCATGCCCGCACATGCCTAAATCCCAAACTCTAAACTCTTAACTCTACTCTCGGTGGGGATACGTAACATCACGCGACCTCTGCTTCCTTCTTCTGCTCCTGTTGCAAGGCCTCCAAATGCAGAACAGCAGTTGGCGACGTAGCTTAGACATTAACGGTTTGGGGTTTGGAGGCCGAGTTTAGGGTTTGGAGCTTGGGGTTTGGGGATTGGGGCTTGGGGTGTAGAGCTTAGGGTTCAGGGTTTGGGGTGAAAGGCTTAGGGTTCAGGGTTTCAGATTTTTTGGGTTGGGTGGGGTTGCAAACCAGCCTTGGACATTCTTACAAGATGTAATGGGGCCGAAGGAAGCGCCTAGACACGCAGAGAATAAAACGCGTTTAGGGTTTGGGGCCTGTAGAAGCACTTCCGCAATCTATCCGCATATCTACTACAGCTAGTATCAAAAAAAAACTCTTGACCTGAACTACCTATGATAACGCCTTGAAGCCTTGAGGGTTATGGTATTCCAGCTTCTGATGTCATAGATGACTTTCAACATCAACACTTACCAGCAGGCCCTAAGTCATAAACGCTTTGAAGCCCAAACCCTGAAGCCAGTATGTAAGGATTGGGGTACTGTAGTTGGTATAAAGTTCCGGTTCAGGGCTTAGGGACAAAATTCCCTCAAGCTCCTATGATGGGAATGTTATTCAGCAAGAAAGCCTGATAATCCTATTGGCTCTGCCTGTTCCACATATGGGGGTTACCCAAAATTAGGGGTACCTTTTTGGAGGTTCCCATAATAAGGATTATAGTATATTAGGGTCTATATTGAGGTTCCCCTGTATAGGGAAACTTATCAAATTTTCTTGAAAGAAGTCCCAAAAAGGAAACTACCATGTTCGGAAGCGTCCATCTTTGACAAAGATGTTCTTCGCGAGGGGCATGGGGCTATGCTGAGACAACAATTCTGGAATGGCAATGCCTAAGCCTAATGCAGCGCCCTCAACAAATAGAATAGGGCTTCAAGGCATGCTATACTTTAATCATGTAAGGCTTAGGTGGGGACTTGTGGTAATGATTCAGGCTTGTGCGTTACAATAACGGTGTTCCTTTAAGCAAGGTCACCGCACATGTCCATAAGCAGACCCCTCACACAAGGATCCAAGAAACGGAGCCGTAAGCCTGAGCGCGAAAACAAAAAAAAAGGACGGCGTGAAAACTCCCAAGCCGATGAAACGGCTAGACTCCAGAAAAAAAATATGAAGCTTCAGATCAAGAAAAGGATACACCCAGAAGGGCCCGACATGTAACATGTTTGAGAACTGGGATGTAGCTCCTTGTTAGATGATTTTAGCTTCGGCGAAACGTAGACATGTATGACTAACTAGATTGACCCAGCAGACCCACTGTTGAGCCCATAGCCCTGCATAATCCCAGCGTCTCTTCCCATGTATATGGATTTTCTTTTCACTTGATTATGAATTATTCTAAGATTCAAGTTATACGCGCCCCTAAACCTAACACACCAAAACCTGAACCTAAAACCCGAAACCCCAAAATCCTAAACCCTGAGCTCTAGAGGCCAAACCCACAAACTGGAAACCCCGACCCTAAACCCTACTAGTACTATAGTAGTTTCCATGTTATTTTCCATTATCCCTATATAACCCCTATATAACCCCTGTTTA